TGGTGACGGCTATTGAGGGCGCTGGCTTACATTCATTCTATCCTAGGAGTGTGTCATTGAGATTTGGAGCCACAAAATGTTTTGGCACGTATTGGAACACAGCTCGTATCACACAGAGTCTTTGATAGATCACTCTCAAGTCTGAACTGGTTTTCCATTGCTTGCAAATCTACCATAAATCATGTTTTTGTATATATACCAACACTTTCCCCTCCGCAGGCCACATCGCTGCAAAACTACTTCCGTCCATTCCCTGCTATATGCGCAGGATTATTACCAACCGTTCCTACCACTGGCCTAGGAAAAAAGACATTCCATGTCGCTGCAAAACAACCGCCGTCCATTCCCTACTATACATGCAGGATTACTGTCCTTTCCTACCACCGGCCTAGAAAAAACGACTTGAACCTTCAATAAACCTTGTTTCTGTATACCAAAACTTTCCCCTCCGCAGGCTACGTCGTTGCAAAACTACCGCCGTCCATTCCCTGCTATACATGCAGGACTACCGTCCATTCCTACCGCCGGTCCAGGAATAAAACAACTCAAACCTTCCACCCCCAGTAACACGCACACCCAGCCGAGCGTCCGTCAATTCCACGAGCCTTCTGTCCCCATGTGAACGTAAAAAAAATCCTTCCTCCCCACCACCGCTCCTAGTGCCGGCACCGTCGCTCTGCTCTCTCCACAGCGCTGCCGCTCCACCCTCCACAGCGCCACCGCTACCACGGGACCCCTCCCAACACTGCCGCCGCTACTCCGCCCCTTATAGCAGCGGCGTCCTCGCGAGCGCCACCTCTTCGATCGCAAATCAGAGACTCCAATACCAATAGGTTGGCTCCTCTTTTCGGGTTGAGACCAATAGGTTGTCTCCTCTTTTAGGGTTGCTATCTATTTTTGGATTGGATTCATGATTTTACGTTTCTTCATCTCCACTCCTGCCGATTCTACGGTTTTGATGAGGTCTTTGTTTCTCCATTAACTTCAGCTCTTTCATTGAATGAATAGATAAATGAATGCCGACTAAAATCCTAACTCTTCACAATCAGTCTGGACTAGAGCGACTGTACTTAACTTGGAGTCTTGAGGGGACATAAACTAATTATCTGGCAGCCACTATGTAGTGATACGCTGTGCCTTATGCCCTCTTAATTTGTCTACCTGCTCACATAGTGTGGTCTCTTTATTTATGTTGGTAGCTACATTCTAAAATCCTCTATCTATTATTAAATATCTTATCCTATTGTTTGCTAATCTTCATTCTTATTGTTAATATGGACTCAACTACATTGCGGCAAGCATAGAATTACTCATCACTGAGTTTAGGGAAGACAAAAACAAACAATATTTCCTCATCCCCTACCATTCACCATTGATTATTTCACTAAGTGAGCAACAAACCTCCTATCGCAAAGAACATGATTTGCAGCCTTGGTTGATTGATACATTTTGATTGTCATATATTGCATGCCTTTGTTTCCTTCTGCTTTAGTATGTGCTCCCGATCCAATTGCAATTTAACAAAGATGCTTATCTAATTTCATTTTTTTTCCTTAACTAGGTTCATGAAAAGATGCTGGTATTTTCAGCATTACTTCACTATAATGCCTGCCATTTCTATTTATATGTCACTGTTAGATTGTTCAACGTTCAAATTTCTAGCATCTGCTCATGGTATCTTTTCCATGGCTTCAAATTTTTTTACACGGGACGTGTACTTCAGTAATGACTGGTCTAAGTCACTTTCCTATGAAGTGGATATTACTGGATTAATCTATGTGACCACCGAGACTACTACAGAAAAACTTAGCCGGCATGTTTTGTTTTTGGGCTCGGAGGCGGGCGGGCTGGTTGCCCGCCTCCGTTATTCGGCGGCTAGGCCGCTGGCCAGCAATCGCCTTGGTTAATCATTAACGGAGGTAGACAACCTAACGCGCCCGCCTCGATTAATGTCGATTAACCGAGGCGATTACCGTAACGCAACCATCTCAGTTAATACATTAACCAAGGCGGTCGCTCCAAAACAACCGCCTCCATAAACCAAGCGCGCCCGATTGGAAAGAATTGCATTGCAAGTTGCAGCGCTAGGCCCGCTCCCTGTCCAAAACCACCGGCGCCGCCCCTAGTTTTTCTGAAACCACCATCACGTGGCGCGATATTATTGGCCACACGCCTGGACGCCACACAATCGGACACAGGGTATCAGATCCACAGCGCTCATCCTGCCTCGCTCTCTACGCCACCCGTTGTACGCAGCATCGGCGTCGTCCTCCACCATGCGCAGTTGGATTAGCCGACGCCCCGGATCGCTGACGTGGAGTCCTTGAACGGCTGGATCAGAGGCCATGTGGAGTCACCTAGAACGTCGATTCGTTTGTGCTTCTTTACTGAGAATGACACGTGGGTCCCACATGATATCATCTCCAGCCTAATGGAGAAATATCCCCCTCCCTCTCACACACGCCCGCACTCCCCCCGATCCCATGCATCTCCCTCTCTCCCTCAGCGCTCTTCTCTCTCCATCAGCGCCCTCCACCTCTAGCCGGTCCCCACCACCTCCACCTCCATCTACGGCGCGCCCTCCACCTCCGGCCAGCCCCTCCCCTCTAGAGCCGACGGCACTCCTCTCCTCCCGAACACGACAACACACGCTCTCCCTCCCGAGCACGACGGCGCCCCTCTCCATCACGGCCCGTGTCCGGCCAATGGCGGCGCGGGGAGGCCAGACCCGGCCGCGTGGTGCGGAGCAGTGCGGTGGCCGCATGATGTGGGGCGCTCCATGGCCGTGGTGGTGAGGGGTGGCGTGGTGCGGGGTGCCAGGTGGCGAGCAGCGCGGTGGCCATGGTGGTGCATGGGACCAGGCACAGCCTCCCTCTCCTCCGAGCGCGGCGCGGTGTCCCTCTCCTGCAACCATGGCACGGCGTGGCCTCCCTCTCCTCCGAGCTCCCGGCGCGGATTCGGCCTCCAACTGGCCATCGGCGGCAGATCCGACCACCGGAGGTGGTGGGGCGCAGATCCGGTCACCAGCAGTAGCGGATCCGACCTCGTGCTGCTGCGGGCGCATGGATCTAGCCACTGGCAGCAGCAGGGGCGTGGATCCGGCCACGAGCAGCGGCGGCGCACGGGACCGGGCTCAATGGGCTACCGTGCTCAGTGGGATTTTTTTATTTCCTGAAATTATTTACGGAGGCGGGCTAATTAACTCAACCGCCTCCATTAATAGCATTACCCGAGGTGGTTGCCTTACGCCACCCACCTCGGTTAATCGATTAACCGAGGTGGTCGGCCAACCGCCTCCGTTAAGGCCCGATTAACCGTGACCTTTCGACCAAAACCACCTCGGTTAAGCATTTTTGCTCGCCTCGGTTAAGATTTCTGCAGTAGTGTGAACTTTTACTAAAGTCAACCAACATCACCAAACAACCCAATAAGAATGTAGGTGCGATTTCTTGACAGTTACAAATGGTTCTACAGTATGTTACCGACCACCTAATCTTACTGGATGCAAACAAATCTCTTTCATTTCTTGACAGGATCAACTTAACAACAGAAGGGAACACTCCTTGGAGAGGCCAAATAAAACAAGAGGTTCTATATTCAGGTACCATTTGTTCATACAATAGTGCGATCTTCATGAAGTGTTTGGTCGCTGCAGTCGTGATAGGTTATTTAGCTTGTGGGACATTCTAACATAAATTGGTATTTTTTGGCGTAGCTAAAATAGGTCAAAAAAAAGGCTACCTGATTATGTTGACCCCATATTATATATAAATACATGTCTTAGCCATCGTTTGACAATTTGTGTGCTAATCTTTTCCTTTTCCTTGATATGAAACTCACCTACTCAATACAAAAACATATGGTGGTGTCCTACTTTAAGGTCTGCAAATACACGCTGCTTCTCCTAAATGTTCTTTTTTCACCTAAAGTATCGCATTTCATATTTGAATTGATAGTTATCCTGCCGGTACTCTCAATTTCTATTTACTTGCTAATTGTTGATACAAATGTTGGTGCCTTCTTTCATTGTCACTTCCACCTACTAGCCATTCAATTCGTACGTATTACCTCATCATTTATTTTTACAAAAATCAAAGTGATAGGCAATATATCATTGACAAAATGAGCGAAAATATAAAAATTTAGGCACTCTACAAAAGGGTGATAATATAACATAAAGTGTGATTTTTCCCAAACTGCGTTAGTTGCCAATCTTTCTCACGCATGTGACGCGTTTTCTTATCATGCATGTAACGTGTTTTGTACCTATATGGTTATACCATTTTGAGATGGTCATACATGTGTGTGCATTCCACTTTCAGTTATAGTAATAGGTATGTGGAGATACCACTTTCAGTTATAGTAATAGGTATGTGAGATACCACTTTCAGTTAAAAGTATTAACAAAAGTACACAAAAACCATTTCATAAGCATGTAATGCTAAGTTATAAAAACCATTAACAATTATAGGGACAAAACATTTTACATGCACGCTAAGAAAATGTGTCACGTGCATGAAAAAGATGCCGCTATCTGTTCTGGTGGATTTTGCTCTTGATTGTGCAAGGGGGTTGCCGGAAGGATGCTGCTAGTAGTTGCAAGGAGCGACCAGCCAGTAGAGGTGTTGCAAGCTAAGAAATGACCAATCACAGGATTGCCAGCCATAGCCATTGTTGCATGAGGTGGCTGGTGTACAGCCTTAGCGAAAAGAAGCGTGAGGATGGAGCTTCTAGCTGGGAACCGCTAGCCCATGGTATTGAAAGGGCCATCCATAGCTGCACCTATGTAGTTGATCCCTGTCGCTTCGAAGGTGTGTTCCTTAGCCGCAGCAAAAGCAATGCCAGGGTGAGGGTGCACACACTCATCATGTAGAAACTGAGTTCCTGCCCAGTCTGGCACACATGGTTGCACACTTTGCACTTGTGTGGAACACTCTGCATGTCTAGCTTTGCCTTGACCTTCTTCTCCATGATTTTGTGATGATGAGTAATGTGACCTCCTAGCGCTTGGGGTGTGGGGAAGAACGTGTTCTTACACTTAGGGTAACATTACACCTTGGCAAGCCTTTGTTGCTCTCACCTCCAGTGGGAGTAGATGTGTTGTAGGTGTGGCTACCACTGCTACATCCATCAAGACCTCCGCCTCCATAGCTGGCATCGCTATAGCTAGCAACACCTTTTCCATAGTCGACATTGCCATAGCCAGCGAGAGATTTGCCACAACCATTGCTATACCTAGCAATAGCTTTACCATTGCCACCATATCTCTAGCGAGAACCAGATTCACCAGAGCCTATGTTCCCCTTCACTGGGAAATCAGGTGCAGTTTAAGTGGCCACACTCATAGCGGTGGCAAGAGGAGCTCTTGTGATGGTCACCGCTGCCACAAAAGCAGGAGGTGGTGGAATGTTAGAGCCGCTATTGATGCAGCAGCAGGAGCTCCTCCAATGTTCAAAGATTCAGTGGGCGCATGAGGTGAAGGCGGCGTAGGAGTTGCCACGGCAACCGCAGGAGCTCTACGAGACCCGCGATGGCGATGAGAGGATTTCCGTTGTCATTGTCGTCATCCATGAGGTTTCACGAAATTGTCATCATCGCTGCGCTCATTCTCTGTGACCTTGTTGCTATCATGCCTGGCGACCGCTATGTTGCAAATAGCGACATTAGACTAAGATCCAGAAACTTTTACCTCCAAGTTCTTCACCACAGGCGTCTCTAGGGCTCCCATTGCTGCGTGTGGCATTGCCCCATGTCGCCTCTGGCGGCTTCATGGTCCTTAGCTTTGATTTTCGCTTCTTCCTTCTCCTCTTCGGTGTGGGTGCATCCTCATCCGACTTGGATGAGAGGTGGTCGTGGTTGTGCAACCTCATGTGCCCACTGCCCACACAACGTCATCTCCCAACCAAAGGTCATGGAGCAATCGGTGCAAGCATAAGGCCAATCATCCATCATAGCAACAGTGCCAACACTAACTAATATGAGCCTAGGCACCTCATGCGAGTGCCGTGGTTGCAAACCACGCTGCTCGGCTGTTGCCTGGTCCCTACCAGGATAGCCCACCAAAGATCCACACATATATACAACTAACGTAGGTTGGGAACAAAACACATTTCATGTTATATTATATATTAATATAACATAAAGTGTGACTTTTCCTAAACTCTATTATTTGCCAATCTTTCTCATATGCATGTGACGCATTTTCTTATCGTGCATGTAATGTGTTTTTTCCCTATGTGGTTATACCATTTTGAGATGGTTATACATGTGTGGACATTCCACTTTCAGTTATAGTAATAGGTATGTGGAGATACCACTTTTAGTTAAAAGTATTAACAAAAGTACACAAAAATCATGTTAGAAGCATGTAATGCTAAGTTATAAAAACCATTAACAATTATAGGGACAAAACACGTTACATGCACGATAAGAAAATGTGTCACGTGCATGAAAAAGATGCTGCTATATGTTCTGGTGGATTTTGCTCTCTTGATTGTGCAAGGGGGTTGTCGGAAGGATGCTGTTGGTAGTTGCAGGGAGTGACCAGCCATTGGAGCTGTTGCAAGCTAAGAAATGACCAATCACAGGATTGCCAGCCATAGCCATTGTTCCTTGAGTTGGCTGGTGCACTGGCGCGGCCTTAGCGCAAGGAGTGTGAGGATGGAGCTTCCAGCAAGAACCCACCACCCATGGTATTAAAAGGGACATCCATAGCTGCACCTATGATGTTGATCCCTGTCGCTTTGAAGGTTTTTTCCTTAGCTACAGCAGCATCAATGCCAGGGTGAGCGTGCACACTCTCATCGTGTGGAAACTGAGTTCCTGCCCTGTCTAGCACACATGGTTGAACACTCTGCACTTGTGTGGAACACACTGTGTGTCTAGCTTTGCCTTGCCCTTCTTCTCCATGATTCTGTGATGATGAGTAATGTGGCCACCCCGCGCCTAGGTTGTGGGGAAGAACGTGTTCTTACACTTAGGGCAATTGTACACCTTGGCACAAGCTTTGTTGCTCTCACCTCCAGTGGGAGTAGATGTGTTGTAGGTGTGTCTACCACTGCTACATCCAGCAAGACCTTTGCCTCCATAGCCGGCATCGCCATAGCTAGCAACTTATTTTCCATAATCAACATTGCCATAGCCAGCGACAGATTTGCCACAACCGTTGCTATACCTAGCAACAGCTTTACCATTGCCACCATATCCTTAGCGAGAACCAGCGTCACCAGAGCCTATGTTCCCCTTCACTTGGCGATCAGGTGCAGTTTGAGTGGCCACACTCATAGCAGTGGCGAGAGGAGCTCTTGTGATGGTCACTGCTGCCACAAAAGCAAGAGGTGGTGGAATTGTCAGAGCCGCTATTGATGCAGCAGCAGGAGGTCCTCCAATGTTCAAAGATTCAGCGGGCGCATGAGGTGCAGGTGGCGTAGAATTTGCCACAGCCACTGCAGGAGCTCCACGAGACCCGCGATGGTGATGAGACGATTTGTGTCATCATCGTTGTCGTCGATGACGATCACGAAATTATCATCGCTGCAACGCTCGTTCTCTGTGACCTTGTTGTTGTCGTGCATGGCGACCGCTATGTTGCGAATAGTGACATTAGACTAAGATCTAGAAACTTATACCTCCAAGTTCTCATCAACAGTTGAGACGACAGTGTCTACCACCACAAGCTGCATCGCCATCAGGTTGCGTTGGATCTGCATGACGAGCGACCTGTCCGGCTGTTCTTCACCACAGGCGTCTCTTGGGCTCCCTTTGCGGGACATGGCACTGCCCCATGTCGCCTCTGGCGGCTTCATGGTCCTCAGCTTTGACTTTTGCTTCTTCCTTCTCCTCTTCGGTGTGGGTGCATCCTCATCCGACTTGGAGGAGAGGTGGTCGTGGTTGTGCAACCTCATGTGCTCACTGCCCACACAGTGTCATCTCCCGACCAAAGGTCATGGAGCAATCGATGCAAGCATAAGGCCGATCATCCATCACAGCAACAGTGCCAAGACCAACTAATCTAAGCCTAGGCACCTCATGCGAGTGCCGTGGCTGCAAACCACGCTGCTCGGCAGTTGCCTAGTCCCTACCAGGATAGCCCACCAAAGATCCACACATATATACAACTAACGTAGGTTGGGAACAAAACACATTTCATGTTATATTATATATTAATATAACATAAAGTGTGACTTTTCCTAAACTCTATTATTTGCCAATCTTTCTCATATGCATGTGACGCATTTTCTTATTGTGCATGTAATGTGTTTTGTCCCTATGTGGTTATACCATTTTGAGATGGTTATTTTGTCCCTATGTGGTTATACCATTTTGAGATGGTTATACATGGACATTCCACTTTCAGTTATAGTAATAGGTATGTGGAGATACCACTTTCAGTTAAAAGTATTAACAAAAGTACTCAAAAATGATGTCAGAAGCATGTAATTCTAAGTTATAAAAACCATTAACAATTATAGGGACAAAACACGTTACATGCATGATAAGAAAATGTGTCACGTGCATTAAAAAGATGCTGCTATATGTTCTGGTGGAAGGGATTGCCAGAAGGATGCTGCTGGTAGTTGCAGAGAATGATCAGCCAGTGGAGGTGTTGCAAGCTGAGAAATGACCTATCACAGGATTGACAGCCATAGCCATTGTTCCTTGAGGTGGCTGGTGCACTAGCGCGGCCTTAGCACAAGAAGCGAGAGGATGGAACTTCCATCTAGGAACCACCAGCCCATGGTATTGAAAGGGCCATCCATAGCTGCACCTATGTTTTTGATCCATGTCGCTTCGAAGGTTTTTTCCTTAGCCACAGGGTGAGGGTGCACACGCTCATCATGTGGAAATTGAGTTCCTGTCCTATCTGGCACATATGGTTGCACACTTTGCACTTATGTGGGACACTCTACATGTATAGCTTTGACTTGCCCTTCTTCTCCATGATTCTGTGATGATGAGTAATGTGGCCTCCCAACGCCTAGGGTGTAGGGAAAAATGTGTTGTTACACTTAGGGCAACTGTACACCTTGGCACAACCTTTGTTGCTCTCACCTCCAGCAGGAGTAGATGTGTTGTAGGTGTGGCTGCCACTGCTACAACCAGCAAGACCTAGCTTACTCAGCACTTAGCAAGATGTGATGAGCACACGACAGCAATGTCCAAATATTTTCTCAAATCTTTTATGGTCCGAACAAATTAAATCTCTTCTAGTTTATCCAACAACATATTTTCAGATAATAAATTTCAATAATAGTTTGTACAAAACGGCAGCAACCACAAGGAAAATTCTCACAACAATTAAGTCCGAGTAGCAGCAGAATACTAGCCAAAACATACTCCCTCCGTCCCAAAATAGATGTCATTCTCGCTTCTTCAGAAGTCAAACACTTTTAACTTTGACCAAATATATATAAAAAATTAGTGAAATTTTAGAGCGCTTAGAAAAAAGTAGAGCCATCCATTTGGATAGATCGGATGGCTATAAAATAGGAAGAACAAATGTGGAAGAACTTAAGTTGTGGGCCAGAACCTAAATATGTGGGTCTAGAACAAAAAATATATAGGTCATAAATTATTTACAAAATAAATTTAAAGAGTACTTCCTTAGAAGTCAAACACTTTTAACTTTGACCAAATATATATAAAAATTAGTAAAATTTTAGAACACTTGGAAAAAATAGAGCCATCCATTTGGATAGATCGGATGGCTATAAAATAGGAAGAACTAATGTGGAAGAATTTAAGTTGTGGGCCAGAACCTAAATACATGGGTCCGGAACAAAAAATATATAGGTTAGAAATTATTTACAAAATAAATTTAAAGAGTAGAATAGTACTTTCTGCCCCTATGGCCTCCATGGAAGACCTCACACTCCCCTTCGTCTCCCCAACAAGAGTACAAGATGCTGGCAACAACATTATTGATGTCCATCGGGCTGGCCTAGCCCGACACAGCCCGGGCCCGGTTAAAGCACGGCCTGGTGGGGGTGAGGCCGGCACAGCACGTCGTGCCTCTCGGGCCGTGCCCAAGCAGGCCTCGTGCCTGTCTAGTGGCCCAGGTACGGCCTGTTGGGCCGATTTTCGGGCCGGGCTGGCCCGAAAAGCATGGCCTGTCGAGGAGTCCGGGCCAGCCCGAGGCCCGATTCAGAAGGGGAAGAGATGATGGTGGCGCTCGAGGTCGAGGCCGTGTCGGTGGCGGCGGGCATCAGATCCGCGCGCAGCGTGCACCAATGGTGGGGCTGTGGCGGCGCCGCGACGGCGCCCATGCCGAGATCCGCGGGGAGAAGGGAAGGAGGAAGGAGACAAGCGGGGAGGACAGCTGCCGGAGATGGCGCCATGGCGGCAAGCAAAAGGGCACCGCACGGACCTCGGGGAGGAGCTTGCGGCCGACGAGGCGAGGTAGAGGTGGTGGGATGATGGTCAATGGTGCGACGGAGGAGGTGAGATAGGAAGCGGCGACCGATTTGGGCAGAGTCGCGACTCGCGAAGGAGAGGCGAAGCGGCGTCAACGCACGAGCGAGGCATCGATTTGTGGCTGCTGTACGAGGAAGTTGTATATGTATTGGGCCATATGGCATTGGGCCTTAGAACCGATCATGTTGGTTTGTTAGGAAGTAGAAAGCCAGCCTTGGGAAAAAAACATCGGTCTGTCATTGGGCCGAATCTATTTAGCGGGCCGTGCCGTGGCAGCCCGCGTGCCTGGGGTGCGGTCCAGGCACGGTCCTGTGCATCGGGACGTGCCGGCCCAAACCCACACAATATCGAGCCGTGCCATGCTTGGACCGGGCAAAAAAAACCATGCTTTGGGCCCGTGCCGTTGGGCTGCGGCTGCATGGACATATATAACAACAGTGCGGAGTTCTTGGATGGT